CAGGTTTTTTCCCTCTAGCCCCAGGAATTCCAGTCAGTTCAACCCATTTATTGAGTGGCCCTTACAAATAAGGCCCTAAGTATGCACTCTGAAATGGCCTCCTCTGTGTCCTTTCTATATTCTCCGTCTAAATACATCTCAGCTAGGTGGCAGGAAGATTGAATTAATTTATATTCATTTGCAATAACATGTTGAATCAGTCATTCATTCAGTAATATTTGTTGAACACCACCTGTGAACCAAGTACTCTTAACAAGCACTGAGATTGCAGTGATTATAGTTCCTGGCCTCCTCAGGTAAGTTATATTCTAATGGAGGAGACAGACAGTAAATAAATAAATATCTAATATGCCAGTGGAGTAAGTAGAGTAATTTTAAAACATAAAAGCAAGCTTGGTGGTGGGGGAGGGAAGACTGTGTCCATGTGGGAGAGGAGGGGATTATTTTAGAAAGGTTGGTCGGGAAAGGTGCCTCTGAGGAGAACTGACCTGTTGTAATGATCAGAGGATGGGTGAGTTGAGACTTGGATTTAGAGAGAAATCTCTTTTTGGTAGGATTTCCAGTTACCTGAACTTACTATCAAAAAATAATAATATCTGGAGGATCTGGATGGAATTTGGAGGTGGAGGCCTCTTTAGTTTAGAGCTGTAAGCCAGCTGGCCTCTGCCAGTCAGTGTCATGGTTCTGACCCTTTGCCTAGCTCATTTCTGATCCTTACCCACCCCCCTTCCCCAAGCTGGTCACCACCTTGCTGTTTTCCTGTTTATCTCACTGGTGGAACTTTCAGTTTGGCTTTCTTCCCAGCTACCACTTGAACTCTCATCCTTGATGGTAATGCAGAATTGCCTTGGGCTGTCTGAATAAATTTCCTCCCCTGTGACTTGGAAGAACCTACTTATTTTATTTTTTTTTTTTTTTATAATTTTATTTATTTTTCCCCCAAAGCCCCAGTAGATAGTTGTATGTCACAGCTGCACATCCTTCTAGTTGCTGTATGTGGGACGCGGCCTCAGCATGGCCGGAGAAGCGGTGCGTTGGTGCGCGCCCGGGATCCGAACCCCGGGCCGCCAGCAGCGGAGCGCGCGCACTTAACCGCTAAGCCACGGGGCCAGCCCCCGGAAGAACCTACTTATTGCCGCATCCTACCGGTAACCATGTTTTATCATTTAAATTGGGACGCTTCTGAGAACAGAAGAGGACACTATTAATAATTATGTTAGGACTGCAGGTATAAACTGGGGCTGTCCTCGGCAAACTGGGTGACTGGTCACTGTAGGCATGTAGTCACTGGTCACAGGGAGTTAGCTCCAGCTCACAACCAGGACTGAGACTCCCCTCCCCAGCCTAGCATTGGGTCTGGAGGCTGAGGTTGGGCTCCTTGCATGGTGCATCCAGAAGTCAAAACAGAGGTCATCACTCTTTAGTCACTGCCCCTGTTTTCTCACCCTCAGGCCTGTTTTTCTAGTTTCCGTCTTGGAGGTCCCTCTGTTCCCACCCTAAAACATGCTGCTGATAGTTTCCGTTCTTCTGAGAATAGACTGGAAACTTTGTAAGCCCATTTTCTTTGCTTCTTCAGGCTGCTACCTGGGCTGACATGTACACTCTTCTTCTATGTCTGAGTCTAAGAAAGCTGTCTCCAGACCCGGGTACTCTTGCGTAGGCGTTAACCAGAGCCTCTGGAGCTAAGGTGGAATCAGAGAGGAGCTGGGCTTCTAAAGCCAGTCGAACTGATCACCCTTGCAGCCCCTCAGGACACTAAAGTATACAGAAATACTGTTCATTGCTTCTTTCCAAAGTTATATGCTCACAACTAAAAGATTCAAAGGACATGATAAACACCCATGGTTTTTTGAAGAAAATATTACAGATATTGAGATCAAATCTCAAAATTTGAAAGTAACCTCCAAAAAACTTTAATAATAATAAGACCCTACTGGGTTATTTTTACCATAATAATAACAATGACGTCTTATTGGATTCAAATGTATTTTGTAGTACAGGTTCATAATTCCTTATCTGAAATCCCAGAAAGCTCTGAAAACTGAAAAAGAAAAATTCCAAGTTTGTAACAAGTTTTATTTCACAGCAAAACCTGACTTGAATTGACATGAAGCTTATAGTCTTCATTTATCCCACTTAGTGTGAATATCTATGTTTTGCTGCAGGAATATTAATATATTTGGTTACTTCCCCAAACTTCAAAGGAAGATATGTGATATATGCACCATATTACCTGTTCAAAACACTTCTGACCCAAAAGTTTTCTGATAAGGGATTTTAGCTCTATAGTACTAATTTGACTATTACATGTTTTTCAATTAAAAATCTCCACAAATTAGGTAAGCACAAACTTCAAACAGGATTCCTCTAAAGTTTGCCCCCGCTTGGTTACTGCTTCCTGTATGGTCTCTAGTTTGGGAACTATTCAGTATTATTTTCTAGTTCAACATTTAGTACCTAATCCTTTGGAAGGAAAAGCAACACTGATTTAATAAATGGCTAATAAATAAAAATAGTGAATAAAATATTGAACCCAGACCTCTCCTTCTCCACTGATGTAACATGGAAGAAAGAAATATCCTTTACGATCATATGTGAAACAGAGTGGTCACAGGTGGAATCCATTTTTATTTTGCGCTGAGTATGCAAGAAGTACACTCATGCCCTCCTGGAGCATAACAGAAGCCTCCAGACACAATTTCACGCCTTTACCTAAGTGCAAAAAACTTAGGACCCGTAGTCTTGTGTCTTCCACTAGTTTAGGAAAAGGCTTTTCTGTTCTTTTCTCAAGGAGCATATTGTGCTTCAGGGTCAAAGGAGAGAAGGGGAGGGAAATGTATTAAATACTTAGTTCTTTACTCTCTGACTTAACCTATGTGGTAGCCAGGGTCCAAGAAACCTCCAGTGATTCTCACCTCCTGGTATTCAAGCCCTTGTATAGTCTCTTCCATATCAAATAGAGTTGACCTATGTAACCAGTAGGATTTTGTAGAAATGACAAAGGGTGACTTCTGAGGTTAGGTCATAAAAGACTTTGCAGTTTCTGCTTTGCCCTCTCTTAGATCACTTGCTTTTGGGAAGCTTGCTGCTATGTAATAACACTCAAGTAGCCCTTTGGAAAGGTCTGTGTGGCAAAGAAGGCCTTCTGCCAAAAACCAGCGCTAAATTGCCAGCCATGTGAGTGAGCCACCTTGGAAGTGGATCCTCCAACCACAGTCAAGCCTTCAGATGACTGCAGCTCCAGCCAACAACTTGACTTCAATTGCATGAGAAATCCCAAGCCAGTGTAGGGGAGAAAGACGTATCGTCTACTCTCTCTGGGTCCTCCTGGCTGGGCTATGAATTAAATTGACATGAGACAGAATAACAGGAGAGAATCAAACAAAGCTTTATAACATGTATACATGGGAGAGACCCAGGAAAAACTGGGTAACTCGCCAAAATAGTTGGAGGTTTTTATTTTAAATAGCATCTTCAGGTAAAGACAAAGGAGGATGTTGGGGTTGAGGGGAGTCAGCTGTGGGAGATTAACAGAAAATCACAGTAAACAAGAGTAAGGTTACTATGCAGATTTAAGTCCTTGCGTTCCATATTGATAAGAGTTTCTAGAGATAAAGTCACCCCCTCTTCTTCGTGGTACAGAGAGGGAGATACCTTTACAAATGGAGATTTGCCTTACAAATGTAAATGTCTCTTACAAAGGGTAACTTCTACTTTTCAGAGCTTCTCTCATGTCTGCAGTTTTTAAAAGTAACCAACCCACAATATTCCTTATGCCAAAGAGACACACTTGGGGGTAGCCAATTGTAATCCCCCACACCAGAATAACCCAGCTAAGGCACTCCTGGATTCCCGACCCTCAGAAACTGTAAAAAACAAAAAATATTTGTTGTTCTAAGCTGCTCAGTTTTTGGGGTAATTTGTTATGCAGCAAAAGATAACAAATACACCCGGAACTTTGGTTCAAGGAGGAAACATTGGCTTCTCTGATTATGAAAGTAATAATACATGCTTGTTGCAAATTTCAAACATAGATATATATGACCTGGAAAATGAAAATATTCTATAATATCTCCCACCTTTACAATCTGTGGCAAATAGTTTCAGATATTCTCCATGCAGATACTAATATGTATACATATGTCTATGCAGATAGACACTTGTATGTGACTTGTTAATACACATTGGATCATATTAAACATGCTGTCTTGTAACTTGCATATTCACTTTAACAACTTATCTTGGCACATCTTCCATATGCGTTCATATAAATCTATGTCATTTGTTAGTATATCTCCATATAGTTTATTGTCTGGACTTCTCCATTCCCTATTGGATGGTATTTGAGCTGTTTCCAGTTTCCACAAATACAAACAATGATACAGTGCATAGAATGTGGGTAAATCTGTGGGATATATTTTGGAAGCAGAAATGCTGGATCAAAAGTAGACACAATTAAACTTCTGGTAAATATTTCCAGATTATCCTCCCCAAAAGTTGTAACAATATATTTGCCCAGGGAATTTAAATATCTTATTTTCCTACACCCTCAACTCATTGCTTTCTTTTGTGTTTAATTGTTAACTGTCTTTTCATATGTTTATTAGCTGTTTGTGTTTCTTTTGTGTGGAATTGTCTGTCCATCTCCTTTGCCTATCTTGTTACTAGGTTATTTGTCTTATATATTGATTTGTAAGAACTCTTTGTATATCAGCATGTTAAGCCCTTGCCTAAAACATATTTTATAGAAAATTTCCCCCAATCTATTCTCAAAACTAACTTTAACATTTTAGAATCATATTTAGGGATTTTTCTGTCATAACCCAATGATGTGTGTTGTATAAAGCATGAAAAAAGGCTTTATAATTTAATTTAAAAGTAGAACGAAAATTAAAAATAATCAAGAAAGTATTTTCTATTTGTACAAATGCTAACTGTTACTGTGTTTAAGTTTGATATCTGTGGCCAGATTGATGTGAATTTTTACTGTTTCCTTCTAGTTTCCCGAATACTATATTCACCGCATTCCCAGGAGCCGTGAGGTCCAGCAGTCCTGGCTTTCCACGGTGCTCACCACCTTGTACTCCATGTGGCTCTCCTTTCCCCTGACTCACCGAGTGAAGCCAGATTTGGTATGTATGGCCATCACCATGGAGAGGAAAAGTCTCTCTCCTGTAGATCCTTTAGTAGTAACAGGACATACTGTTTTCTTAAACAGCCACCATTTATCAGTATGCCAGATACTATAATAGACCTTTTACTAACTAACCTATGCTAAAATTTATCATTTGAATATAGTTTGCTGAAAGAAGTGAGAAATTTGTTTTCCTTTTCTACCTATAATTTGAACTCTGTTTGCCCTTTTCCCCTCCTTGTCTCCTGGTGATAAGCGCTGACAGAGAGGTATCTTTAGCCAATTTGTGCTCCTATCCACCTGTGGTTCATGAGCCAACATCTTGTGCTTGCCAGCCAGAGAAGAGCCAATTTCTTGTTTTTGTCAAGACTCTGTTACCAAATATGGTGTGCAGTGGGCAGAATGTTATACACACTCCAATTTTTATAGGAAAGTAATACAGAAAATAGAAATATGAAAACTTAATTAGTGCACTGTGTTCAACCTTACCTTCCTTATCTATAAAGGTCTTAAGTTCTCTGTGGACTTTAGGATGAAGTTCTATTATTAAATTCTAATCGCACTTCAGTAGACAATGCAGAGCAGTGGATATATTATCACAGTAGTGTACACAGTTCTTAAATAACACTTTCATTCCTATTTAAGGCCGAATCCATTAATCAACATAGCCTGAAAGGAAACTCTTTCCAGGTACACAAGTTCTGGCACAGTGGATGTTATTCTCATGAATAGTTGAACAGAAAAGCATTTAGCTACAATGATTTTGAAAGATTTCTATCATTTTGGTCATTGTCTTTCATCAGCTGGATTGCAGTTCAAGACCCTCCTTTGGATGAGGATTTTAAACTGAATTTTCTACGAATAGTTTAGATTGTTTTTAAAAGATACAATTTACAAACAGTGAAATGCACAGACCTCAAGTGTATAGTTTGGCCACATCCCTATCAAGATACAGAACATTTCTGTTACCCCAGAAAGTTTTCTCCTGCCCCTTCCCCGTCATCCTGTGGCCCCAAGCAACCACTTTCTGATTTCTATCACCACAGATTAATTTTGCTTGTATTTATTTTTAAATTTTTCACAAAATAAGTTTATCTCATGGTCTACAACCACATTTTAGTGTAGTTTCACCAGAATTCAGATGTTTCCCTAAAAGATCATTATTGCCCTCAAAGGTTTTAATTTATTTATTTCTAAAACTCAAGAGACAAAATGGAAGGGAGAACAAAGGTCTTCACATTTTAAGCTGGAAATGGTGGGTTTATATTTACTAAACCACTAGAGGCATGGCCACTGTCGCTGGCAACAGCTAGCTTAAGTGCGGTGACTTTAGGACTCTTGGGTGTTAAGGCTCAGAAAGAAGTAATAAGGTGATGGATGACGTCTGCCGTGGACATGCGGAGCTCTGGTGACTGCCTGGCCTACGTATTGGGTCCCTGTGTAGGGGAAAGAGGAACCCATGGGGCGTTGGGACACTTGGTCCCAGGCCCATTTTGGCTTTTATTTTATTTTAGTCATTTCCCTTCTGGGCCTCATTCTTTACCTTAAAATGAAAGGATTGGTCTAGGTGTCCTCTCAGTTTCCTTCTAACTTAGTCTAAAATTTTATGAGTGCTATAAATTTGCTTGTAAAAAGTGGAAGGAAAAAAACTATTACGATGTTTCTAAAGGAATAAGAGGAAAAAAAGGGAGAAATGTGAACTACTTATTTCCATTTTCAACTGAGTTAGTTAAAAAAATTATTTCAAACCTGAACATTATCCATCAGCTGCTCTGGTATGGTTGGCTTCACACAGTGAATTCCCACTTAATGAAATCCCCTTTCACAGAGAAAGAAGTTAATAGTTAAGAGACCTTTTTTACTGCACTGAAAAAACGACAATGTGCAGATCTCCCCTGTATTCGTCCTCGGCTTTCTTATGACTTTTATCACCGAGCACTGTTCCTTCTTTACTTCTTTAAAAAAGTGAGAGAAAAACCCACTCTTAGAAAGGATGGCGGTATCATACCTTAAATTACTGGAGTTGTCTGGACAGCCAAGTACCTTTCTGCCTCGATGTAACCATGTGCACCTGAGCTAGTAAGTCTGCTGCTCCATTCAGCTGTCTCCGGACCTCACTTTATTGTCTATAACATATAAACAAAGACACTTTCCTTATTGTTCTAGAGTGAGTGCTGAAAAATAGAACATTTTAATGTTTTTTAAATGGAAATTCCGTCTGGTATATAATAGCTACCATTTATTGAACACTTACATGTGCAGACCTGGTCCTAAGTGTTTTCATTCATGCTGTGTGAGATAGGCAGTACTGTTATTCACATGTAATGGATAAGAAAACTGAGGCTCTGAGACATGAAGTTACTTGCCCAGAGTTTGCACAACCAATCAATGATGGAGCTAGGACTAGAATCCAGGTCTTTCTGATTCCAAAACCCAAGGCCTTAACCACTGAACTGTGTGCCACCATTTCTGACTCAAACCATGGAAGATGTGTTCATTCATTCAGACCAATTAAGAATTAATTAATACAGGGCCGGCTCTGTGGCTTAGTGGTTAAGTGCACACACTCTGATGCTGGCGACCCGGGTTCGGATCCCGGGAGCGCCCCGAGGCACCACTTCTCCCTCCAACACGAGGCCGAGTCCCACGTACAGCAACTAGAAGGATGTGAACCTATGACATACAACTATCTACTGGGGCTTTGGGGGGAAAAAACTGAAAAAAAAAAAACTTTAAAAAAAAAAAAAAAAAGAATTAATTAATACATTACTTTTTTAAAAAATTACGTTAAATATCGTTCCCTCTACATAATAGTGTAAAATGAAAATATATCCTAGCAGCTCAAATTAAGTACCTGCTTTCATAACAAATTTAACAAACATTGATCTAATTGAATAATAATAATGATAGGATATATTTCAAAATTAAATGTCATCTATATTTGTCAAAATAAAATATTTTTAAAACTCAAAGTGGATAATAAAAATAAGGGGGAATAGTACTATTAAAGAAGTATTATTACAGAATTCTATAAGTGAGATTGACTTGGAAAATTAAACAAGTTCATATTTACCAGTTTCCTTTTATAGAAAATCATATGTAAAGCCATTGTCAGGATATGACTTTATGTCTTAATTGACTTTTTGGATGAGATAGTAATCTATAACCTCAGGTTATTTTGAGGAGAAATTGTATAAATCTGTTTATTGAGTATATGTTAAAATTCATGCTTATTTCATCCAAGCCACTTATTATCTTAGAGAAGAATTATAAACTCTGTTTTGGAGACCTGAATCTATCTTTAACAATAATTGGAAAGAATGGTTTTGTCTTTTACAAGGTCATTAAATACTTTTTAAGTGGTTTCTAATATTCACACATGATATGTGGCTTTTTCAAGAAATATGGCTTTGTCAGGCATCTGTGAGTAAGTCATAAGTTCATAAGACTGTTCTTGAGTTTAAAAAGATAATGGGACTAAAAACAGATCAGTGGTTGCCAGCATCTGGGGGTAGGGGAGGGATTGACTACAGAAGGACTTGAAGGAACTTTTTTGGGTGAACAACTGTTCTGTATCTTGATTGTGATGATGGTGGTTAGTTGATTGTATGTGTTTGTCAAAACTCAGACCTGTATACTAACACGGGTAAATTTTGCTGTATGTATATTATATCTCAATAAATATGAATTTAAAAAAAGATAAAGTGGATTAAAATGTGTCTCATTGCCAAAAGCATCAAAACATTTGACTGCCAGTAGCCTTATATATGGCATTTAACTATCTTTGAGTAAAAGTGATTTGGTGAGTCATTGCTCTGCCCTCTCTTGACACTTAGCCCCTCCAGTGTTTATAAGGCCTAGAGAAGTGAAGCAAATACTTCAACTGAGTTGACAGCATTTGTCTAAAATTTCTGACATAAAATGCAGCACCTTTGTATTAAAACTCTGGGTCAGGGAGCAGCAGCAGCAGCCAAAAATGACGTATTTCATCAAATGAGCTGAGATCTCTGGTCATTTCAATCACTTATTATTTTCTGTTTGTAACCTTGGAAGCAGTAAATAGAGTTAGTAAAATTTGGAATGCTGTGTTGTATGTCTGATGCCTAGGTGAGTCTATCATCCTCAGAGTGGTAGCTTTTAAAAGTATGTGTCAGGTGCCTGCTATGTGCTGCTTTTCTACTTGGATGTCTCTTAGGCCTCTGAAAACGTTCTTGGTCCAAAATAGTAGATATTTCCTACTTTTTCCCCATTTTCGTAAATTGGCTCAAGTCAAATCCCCAGGAGACATCTTTGATTCCTCTCTCCCACACCCTACTTCCCACGTTCAACAGCAAGTCCTGACAACCGTGTCTTCAAGATCTATCACCCAATCTGTCCATTTATGTCCATCTTCACTGCCACCATGCCAGCCAACCCCCCTATTGCACAGTCTCCTGACCTGTCTGCTTGTGGAAGGAAGTTCATGACCCCCTTCAATTTCTTCACCACTTAACAACCAATGTGATTTTTTTAAGATGTAAATTAGATGTTGTTAGTTCACGCTTAAAATCCTCCAATGGCTTTCTGTGCTGTTAGAATAAAGTCCAAACTTCTCAGTGTAGCCTGCACGCTCCAGCCCAGACCTGTTTCTTTGACTACTTCTCCTCCTCTCTTCCCCTGGTTTACCTGTGCCAGCCACACCTGCTTTTTCTTTTTAACAAACCCAGCTGATTAATATCTCAGAGCCTTTGTACTTTCTGCTCCCCGTACCTGTGACTCTTCACCCCTGGACTAAACATGACAAGCTCATTTTTGTTCTCTGAGCTCAAATGTTACCTCCTTATAAGGCCTACGCTGACTACTAGTGCTTCCTTCAGCTCATGTCCTCATCTCTCTGTCACGTTGCCCTGCTTTGTTTTCTTCATCGTACTAATCCCAATAAAAAATTTATCATTCCAGAAGAAACTGTGACTGCCTTGTTCACTGTACTTATGGAACAGTGCCTGGCACATGGTAGCC